TTCAATGTCATTTCATTGCATTGATTAAATAGAGTCATGGGACCGAATTCTTGCACTCACATCCATAATCAGGTGGACGATGCTACTTAATGCAAACACGTGTAGACTGACGAAGAACATGAGACTTGAATGTTTATATTTTATAAAGACATGTGTCATTTACTCACGGCCAATATCCGACACATGAACCTTACACCTTATCTGTGATGTGTGAGAGACTGCTCCAAATCCTCTCTCGATTGGTTGTTTATATAATTGCGTGTATTATAAATCTTCTCCAATCTTCCAGAATCGGATGCAGGTTTGAGGTTACATGCATCTCAAGTCAACACTCTGGTGCAACTGTCTTTTTTGTTCTTTGAATGAATGCGAAGCCTATTCCGGTACAATGATATATATCAAAAGAAGGAAAAGAAGAATGCTTAAGGGTAGTGTTACTCTATTTTTTTTTCTATAATCCATCTTAGACATTTTTTTCGGCCAGTTCAAGATGGATTAAGATGACTACACACAAAAGACAATGGTTAAAAGATTTAACATAGAGGATAAAAATAATTATTTTAAATAATATTTGGAAATAACCATTCTTTGTCTGAGACACGTGTAGCAAAATATATAGAATAAAGTATATAAAGAAACAAATCCACATTACAATCAAAAACGTTTGCGGTTTTTTCTCTCTTTAAGATATACACTTTCTATCGTTATAACATCTCCCTCGTATATATATATATATATATATATATATATATTACTGTGTGCGCGTGTGCATTGGAAGGTTTTATAATATGTATTGAGCCTAACTTTGTTTGGCATAAGGACAAGACTGAGAGAGACCCGGCTGCGGAAAATAAAAACTGTGAGATGTCTGGTTCCAGAGAACAACAGGCCGAGGCTGCAGTTGGGAGAGGGGTCAATAGTCATGCTGATGCCAGCGCAACTTACCGTTGCGGGGGCAGGGCAATTTTTGTCCATGGCCCGAGTGTAAGCGCTCAGAATCCCCACATTAAACTGGATCTTGTGTCGCGTCTCGTCTCAGTGGGGAGGCTGGGATAAATAACCACTACTGTGGGTTACTTAGTGAGGATTGAGTTCACTACTCACTGATGGTGAACAACAAGGCCTCATCGTTAATCATGATTCTACAGTAGAATTTTAATAACCGCCTTATTCCTAAATATAAAATAAATAAAAATAAATAATAGTTTATTCATTTTGCAAAAAAGCTTTGATATTTCTTTGAACTTTCCGCAATATGGTGCAAATCAAACATTAATCGAACGCAATTTTTTAAAAAAGCAAGAACAAATGTTATGTACACAAATCATTTTTTTTTTATTTTTGTTGTGTAATGTATTTTTTATTTTATTTTGTATCATTTATTTCATCTCGGTTTTCCCTTCAAGAACTCCTGTTATTGTTCATATTTCACGGTGTAAGCAGCTCATGTTTTTTTGTTATTTTCTTTGTTAATAAAATGTTCGAAATTGCATTTGCTTTTTTGTTTTATTTGGCTTGATTTTTTCATTTTTTTATATATATATATATATATATATATATATATATATATATATATATATATATATATACACACACATGTATATATATACAGAAATTTATATAGATATACAGATAGATGAAGAGAGTGTAAGAAATTAGCAAATATAACATGTAATGTATTTTTCAATTTTATTACCACTAATTGTCATTAAGAAACTTTACAGTAACAAAATGCATGTATTAGTTAATTGGCATTATACATTTTTTATATATAGAAATTTACACAATTTTTTGATTTCTGTTGCTCCTATAAACATTCGGCCGATCAATTCTACAATAACCTATCGACGGAAATCACAAAAATTAAAAAGCCAATGAATTCGCTTGTCCGAAAATATTCTTGAATACTTATGCGAAAATGATATTAACAAAATCAAAAACATGAATCCGACATACGCTGCAATTCATAAATTCTTCTTATCAGCCAAGAATATTGGAAAAGAAGCAAAATATAGTTGAAGTACTAAGATTTGTAAAGTTCCTCACTAAAATCGTGTAAAAGAAATTTGGTACCAGATTGAATATTATCAGCTTCAAAATAAGGAAAAATATATTTAATTGTTGGAAAGTAACGAAACTTGGATTTACAACAGAAAAAAAATATACTAAAAAGCTGTTTTTGTTGTATTTATGGTTCGCCTTTTGAGCGTCTCCACATCAACGGATTTATATTTTATGCAGTTTATTCTATCTTTCTTAGTACTTATATAAATTTAGTACTTGAAAAATTGCTTTTTAAGTATACCCTCTAACCTCTCACTCACAGGCGGCATGTCTATTGCTACTTCTATGGAAAGTACCGGACCAACTACATTCTTTGGTTCCGCCATGTTTAACCTTCTCGGCTAGGACCCGACATGCCACTTACATCTCAGCCAACCACTCTGTATTCCATTGGTGAGAAATAAGTTCCACTTAAACAGATTTTTTCCACGAACCA